ATACCTCTCTCTCTCTCTCTCTCTCTCTCTCTCTCTCTCTCTCTCTCTCTCTCTCTCTCTCTCTCTCTCTCTCTCTCTCTCTCTCACACACACACACACACACACACAGAGGAGCGCGCGGGGTCGCGGGGGGAGAGAGGTAGAGGAAGACCTTTACCCACAAGTTTAGAGAGATAGAGAGAAAGAGAGAGAACCCGCAAGCTTTTCCGGCCGCTTTCACTCGTCCTCTCGACGAAAAGAACAACAACCTGCAGCTTGCTCGCAATGGAAGGAGACGCCTGTCAGCAAACGGTAAGCACGGTGACGACGCGCAAACACTGAGCGCGCCAAAGCCTGTGCGATCTGATTGCATCGGCAAAGCTTGCACCTGATGAGATCTTACATCAGATTAGAACAGCTTCGATCACTTCCCCTCCTCCAGCAGTTCTTGTTGAGGTTCCCTTACTCCTCTACTAGAACGGTGAGCTCTTTTGATTCCTTCATTTTGCCAGGCTCCATCACTGCTGACACTCTCATTGCGTACACCTCCAGCACCTGTTCAGCACCTGTTCAGCACCTGTTGGGCACCTGTCCGCCCTTCAACACATGCGAGCGATGGCGACCATCACACTCTGGAGAGTGTGAATGAGGAACACAGCCCTCCCCGCGACGGAGCCGCTGACGCCAGCACCTCGACGGCGGACTGCAGACGCCGATCGGAATCGGAATCGGAATGGGAATCGGAATCGGAATGGGAATCCCAACTGCAGGCACGCCAGAGCGAAAAGCGCAGGCGGGCCGCCAATCACGGGCCCACAGTGGTTTCTAGCCCGCCCGCGTCGCAAAACTCAGGTCGTCGGCTCGATTCGATCCTGCCGCCGTCGCAAAAAGCGTATCGACGCCTGAGCATCACTGTCAGGACCGAAACCGGCTAACTACCGACGTCCCCCGAACACAACGCACCTTTATTTTGGCTGTATATGGCCGGAACTATAGCTTGTATACATTCATTTTAGGGTGCGTTATGTTCGGGGGAAGATGGTTCGTAATGCGGGCCCGGATTACCGCGGCTGTTACGAATCGCCCCCGAGGGTCGTCCCGTCGCGGGCCCATACATAAGGGCCGGTGATGGGTCGGTTTTCCGACAAATAGCCAGGCCATGTCCCGCCTCCAGTCCTATTAGTGGGTAGTACTGAACAGTGATCTCCTCGGCTGCAGACAACCCGGTTTTCATCCCGCATTTTCCGGCCGTGAGCGTCCGTGGTCCGCTGCGCGCCAGATGAAGGCGATAGAGGGTGGTGGAGTGTGCTGAAGGGTGTGCGGAGCGAAATGTTCACAGCGCGCCATTAGACGAGAGAGCGCCCGGGGCAGGGCACACAGCGGGTGTTGATGAGGATGAACTTTTTTTTTTTTTTTTTTTTTTTTT